ATGCTTTAATTACACATCTTTCCATGGTGAATATATTGGGCTGTTTTGCACATCTGGGAGCTTTATTAAAATGTCATCACGTGGTCTATATCCTTCCGGAACTTGTTTTTGTCCTCTCCACATTGCAATTATGAGATATGTCTATTCAACACTCATTCTTCATTTAAAATGAAGATAAGCACAAAAAAATAAATGCTTAGTTAACAGAGAACAGGATAAAGCTTCCTTAATTTGAGAAGCAGCAATTTCCAGGATCCTACAGAAATGTCTTGCTTAATAGTGAAACATGACAACCATTTTTGGTAAGACCCAGAACAAATTTAAAATGTCCACGGTGTAGTGGGTTGAACAGTGTCCCCCAAAAGAAATGCTGGGGCCAACTGTGGTGGCTTACACCTGTAATCCCAGCACTAGGCTGGAGAAGCACTTGAGGCCAGGAGTTGGAGACCAACCTGGACAACACAGGAAGACCCCTATTGAGTAAGGCGTTTCGGCAGGCTCACAGAAATTACCTTATCCAGCCAGAATCGGTGAGCTAGGGCTGCCATAACAAAGTGGCACAAAGCGGGGACTTTGAACAACACAAAGATATTCTCTCACAGTCCTGGAGGCCAGAAGTCTGAACTCAAGATGTCAGCAGGGCCGTGTTCACTCTGAATCGTGTAGGGGAGAATCCTTCCCTGCGCCTCTAGATTCTGGTGGTTGCCGACAACCTTTGGCATTCCTTGGCTTGTAGACCCATCACTGGAATCTCTGTTTCTGTTGTCATGATTTTCTCCCTTCCTCCCTCTTCACATCATCTTCCCTCTGTGTCTCTCTCCTCTCATTTTGCTTTGTTTTGTTTTTAAGAGACAGGGGCTGTGTGAGGCAGCTCACGCCTATAATTCCAGTACATTGGGAAGCAGAGGTGGGAGGATCTCTTTGAGGCCAGGAGTTCGAGACCAGTCTGGGCAGCATATTGTGAGAAGCATATTTAGTAAAATCAAGAACATGATAAAGATGTGCCTCTTGCTATTTTGTCAATGCAATGAGAAAATATAAAGAATTATGGCCGGGCGCAGTGGCGCAAGCCTGTAATCCCAGCACTTTGGGAGGCCGAGACGGGTGGATCACGAGGTCAGGAGATCGAGACCATCCTGGCTAACACGGTGAAACCCTGTCTCTACTAAAAAATACAAGAAAAAAACTAGCCGGGTGAGGTGGCGGGCGTCTGTAGTCCCAGCTACTTGGGAGGCTGAGGCAGGAGAATGGCGTAAACCCTGGAGGCGGAGCTTGCAGTGAGCTGAGATCCGGCCACAGAACTCCAGCATGGGCAACAAAGCAAGACTCCGTCTCAAAAAAAATACATATATATATATATATAAAATTAAGACCTGTAAACACTGGAAAGGATGAGTCAAAGCTGACAATATTTGGAAGCCGCGATCTTATATCTAGGCAGTTCAAGGGACTTCTGAACTAATTAAAGATCTCAGCAAGGTGATTCTTTAAAAGGAGCAGCTTTCTTAGGTTGCAGCAGTGAGTATTTGCAAATATAGAAGGAAAGAAAACCCTCTTCACAATACAAGGAAGGTTTGATTTACTTATTTATTTCAGAAACCTTGGTCTTACTATGTTGCCCAGGCTGGTCTCGAACTCCTGAGCTCAAGCGATCCTTCTGCCTCCCACAGCATTGGGATTATAGACATGAGCTACTACAAGAAAAATTCTTGAACATTAAAGAATAATTATAGGAAGAGTATAGATTAAGCCCTTACATGTAGCTAAGATCTGAATAACTAAAGACACAAAGCTGGACACAGCAGCTCACACCTGTGATCCCAGCACTTTGGGAGGCCGAGGTGGGTGGATTACTTGAGGTCAGGAGTTCGAGACCAGCCTGGCCAACATGGTGAAACCCTGTCTTTACTAAAAATACAAAAATTAGCTGGGTGTGGTAGCAGGCGCCTGTAATCCCAGCTACTAGGGAGGCTGAGGGAGGAGAATTGCTTGAATCCGGGAGGCGGAGGTTGCAGTGAGCCGAGATCTCACCGTTGCACTCCAACCTGGGCGACAGAATTACAAATGCCCACCACCATGCCTGGCTAAATTTTGTATTTTTAGTAGAGACGGGGTTTCACCATGTCGGCCAGGCTGGTCTCGAACTCCTGACCTCAAGTGATCCACCTGCTTAGGCCTCCCAAAGTGCTGGGATTACAGGTGTGAGCCACCGCGCCCAACCAAGTGGTGTGTTTATTACAACTGATGGACTGACATTGACCTGTCATTACTACCTATGGTCCCTAGTTTAGATGAGGGTTCACTTTTGGTGTCCTATGTTCTACGGTTTTGGACAAATGTATAATGACATGTATTCGCCATTACGGTATCAGACATATGGAGTAGGTTCCTAAAAATCCTCAGGCTCTGTCTGCTCACAAATAGATTTTTCAAAATTCCATTGAAGGATTGCCAAACAGATTTAAAAACAAACCTGATGCGCGGATTATCTGGAATATGATAGAGAGGTTGCAACTAGGGAGAAGAACCTCTTGAGGTCAGAGAATGAGGAGGGAGCCAGCTTTTGTTTTCGCTGTGGAGCTTGATGTTTCAGTTCCATGTGCACAGGTGACATTCAAAAAGCAAAATAAAAGGTTTAAAGATAGAGTAATTTAAATATCATCTAAAATATTTCACAAGAGTGGCTGAGAACATTTTGAATAAAGAAGAACCATAACAGGGCAGGGCTTGGTGGCTTCTCCCTATAATCTCAGCTTTTTGGGAGGCTGAGGCAGGAGGATCTCTTGAGCCCAGGCGTTCGAGACCAGCCTGGGCAACATACTGAGACCTTGTCTCTAAAATAAAATAAAATAAAAAATTGTGTAGTGGTGCATGCCTCTAGTCCCAGCTACACAGGAGGCTGAGGTGGGAGGATCGCTGGAGCTCAGGAAATCGAGGCTGCAGTGAGCCACTGTGATCACACTACTGCACTCCAGCCTGGGTGAAAAAGTGAGATCGACACACACACACACACACACACACACACACAAAGTGCCATGCCTAGTAGTCATCAAAATATTATAAGCTGGCTTGGGTTTCCCTAGATGCAGAGCTTGAGACAAGGGTTTGGATACAAGTAGGTTGATCTGGGAGGGGATTCCAAGAAGCACCAGCAGAGGACGAGGAAAGTGAAGACAATCAAGTAGGGAAAGGAAAAAAGCCGATTCAGAGGCATCAGTGAGCTTCTGACCCACGTGGGTGACTGGACTCAGCTCCTCTGGGAGCCTCTGCACTCCAGGGAGATGGTACAGACAAGCTTTACAGTTCCCCTGTCTGTTGAAGGTTGACTCTAAGTGAGAGGGAATTTAGCCTGCAAGCTGTTTATGAAGGAATGTCCTTGGGGTCAACAATAGTAGAAGGGAGGTGGCATTTGTAGCGTCTTTTTTACACCAAAATATTCTCTAATTCTAACACTAGCCACCTGGAGTTAGCACCACATTCCACAAGTTAAAAAGCCAGGTCCCACAGGAATAACCCTATTTCAGATCCCACATGCAAAGGGGATGCCCAGGCCACCCACACTTCCGCCTGCCCAACAAAAATTGGGGGTCTTCACAACTCCTTTCAGATCCAGTAATTTGCTAGAATGACACAGAATTCAGGAAAACATTTTGCTTATGTTCTTACCGAACTGAATCGGGTCTGTTTACCACATGCAATGGAAAACCAAACAACTAAACACAGATTTTGTAGAGATAAAAGTTTACTTCAAGGCAGCCAAGTAAGGAGAGAGGAGTCTGGCTCAAATCTGTCTCTCTGAGCTGGGGGCTGCTGCAGATTTTATATACAGAGGGTAGTGAGGTGTAACCTAATTGGATCATGTAACGAGGTGATGTGGGAGGCTTGATCTGATTGGATCATACCATGGGATGATGTCAGAGTGCAATCTGATTGGATCATAGATCATGCCATGTGGTGTCCGCTTCTTAATTCAGTCCCCATTTGTTGGATCGAACACTTAGGTTCTGCCTGTGGCTACTTGCTTGGTTCATCTGGGCATGATCAAGGTATGTACCTTGCAACCTGGGGGTCCAGGTAACTGAAAAATAACTTGCCATTTTACTACACAAAGTTGAACCAGATTGGGCTACTTCTGTGGCTGCAATGTTTACCAGTTTCTGATAAAAGATACAACTCAGAAACAGCCAAATGGAAGAGATACGTAAAAGAAAGGAGGATTTCGGGGTGGAAGGGGTTGCATCGAGCCTCCATGCCTTCTCTGGGTGCCACTGGTTGACTGGGGGAATGAATTCCCTGGTGCTTCCAGCCTGTAAGATGAACTCTGGCAGCCAGTAAGTCCCCAGTCAAAGGGGTGCAGGGGCTGGTAGACAGAAATTGAGCAGATGGTAGTTTGCACAGATGAGATAAAGCCTCAGGGGGCATAGCAGCTACACATGGCAATCCAAAAACTCTAATCTCTAAAAGAAAGAGAGAGTAGGTTAATGGAACACACGAAGCCCACCCTCCAAAGGCATTCCACACCAGGTCACTTACAAAGCTCCCAAGATGAACCAGAAACACAAGCTCTACACCAGGGGACCTTGGAGGCATCCGAAGAAGGACAGACTGGATCCAGGCCCATGGGGATGAAGAATTTGACAGAGGCCAGGCTCAGTGGCTCACGCCTGTAATCCCAGCACTTTGGGAGGCCAAGGCCATCAGATCGCCTGAGCTCAGGAGTTCAAAACCAGCCTGGGCAACATAGCAAAACCTTGTCTCTACAAAAAGTGTGAAAATTAGCAGGGCTTGACGCGTGCCTGTGGTCCCAACTACTCAGGAGGCTGAGGTGGGTTGGCTGCAGTGAGCTGTGATCATGCCACTGCATTCCAGCCTGGGTGACAGAGACCCTGTCTCACAAAACAAAACAAAAATAAAGAATCTGATAGAGAACAGTCCCAGAGATTTTGTGAAGGTCCAAGGATGGAGAGAAGGAACCCTGGCTTAAAAGTGGCGAAGTTCCACTATGCCGCGTGGGCAATCGGGGATGCAGAGGCTGAGGAGAGAAGCTGCCCTTCATCTCTGGAGCAGGAGGCTGCAGACTTTTTGCAGATCCAGAATTTGGCAGCACTGCATTTGTCGTCATTCCAGCCATTGCCGTTAAATTCCACACAGTCTTCCTCCCCGATATTGTTGGGCTCCCCTCTGTTCCAATATTGCTTGAAGCTGCAAAACCCATACAGAATGTGAGCCTCTGCCCCCACCTGCTACATGAGCTGTGTTTCTACCTTCCGAAATCTTGATGCTTTTTCTTTTGAGACAGAGTCTCGCTCTGTCTCCCAGGCTGGAGTGCAGTGGTGCAATCTCGTGTCACTGCAACCTCCGCCTCCCGGGTTCAAGCGATTCTCCTGCCTCAGCCTCCTGAGTAGCTGGGATTACAAGCATGTACCACCAGGCCTGGCTAATTTTTGTACTTTTGGGGTTTTTTTTGTTGTTTGTTTTGTTTTTGACACGGAGTCTCACTCAGTCGCCCAGGCTGGAGTGCAGTGGCGCCATCTCGGCTCACTGCAAGCTCCACCTCCTGGGTTCACACCATTCTCCTGCCTCAGCCTCCCGAGTAGCTGGGACTACCCGGCTAATTTTTTTTGTATTTTCAGTAGAGACAGGGTTTCAACATGTTAGCCAGGATGGTCTTGATCTCCTGACCTCGTGATCTGCCTGTCTCGGCCTCCCAAAGTGCTGGGATTACAGGCATGAGCCACCGCGCCCAGCCATTTTTGTACTTTTGGTAGAGACGGGGTTTCGCCATGTTGGCCAGGCTG